ACTGTTTTTGTTCAGTTTTTTCTACTAGTTGGTGCCTAATCCACTTCTGTATACTTCCTTTCAAACCTCAGGGCTCCAGGATTATCTTCTGTATCTCTGTCAATTGGTTTTTCTTTTCTTTGTTGAAGAGGGTCTGTGTCGCTTGTCTGCCTATTCCTCCATCTTACCGGAAGTCTGAAAATGGGTATCTTTTGCCCACATACCATCTCATTTACATCTCAGCAGCTCCTCAAGATTGGGAAACTAGGGAGCATTGTTGACAGATGAGAAAACTCAGGCTTAGAGAGGTTAAAAAATTTGCCCAGGGTCACACAAGTTAGCAGCAAAGGTGGGACTTGAATTTGGGTTTCCTCTTTCCAACTCCAGTGCCCAGTCCAAGACCTCACAGCTGCCAGTATCATTCCAGGTGTGTCCCATCAGTGATATACATAAGGTGATCGGAAGTCCTGATTTGCCCAGGAATGTCCCAGTTCATAGCTATTGTCCTGGCTTAATTAGTATCGCCCTCTTTTACTCTTAAGGAGCTCTGGTGGCACGGTGCCTAAGGCATTTCATGGTGAATCAGAAGGTTGGTGGTTCAAACCCCCTGGCCACTCCAAGGAAGGAAGGTGGGGCAATCTCCTTGTATAAAGATTTACTGCCTCAGAAACCCAATGGGGGTCACTTTGAGTTGGAATGGACTCGATGGCAGTGAGTTTGGTTTTCTGGGTTTTCTTTTACTCTCAGAGTATCTGGGTTTGGGTGATAATTCATATGGTCACTCAAGCTATACAGTTAGGCCAGCTTGGTTTTCATGAAATGCCTGACTGACTCATTGTTTGGAGATTCTGACATCTGCTCTTATGGTCCTATTTGTTTTGTTTGTTGTGTGGGTTGGCAGCTCTATGACCTGATGACTATGGCTTTCAAATATCAAGTATTGCTGTCTCCCCGTCCCAAGGATGTGTTGCTGGTCACTTTCAATCATTTAGATGCCATCAAGGAATTCATCCAAGACTCCCCAACCATCCTGCATCAAGTGGATGAGACTTTCCGGCAGCTGATTGAAGTAAGATTGTCATTAGTTAATCACCTCTCAGCCCCAATAGTTGTTCTCATTCCTCTGTTAAGACCAGGCAGATTCTATGACAGAAAGAACAGAATGGAGAATGGCAAAGCCTGCCAGTCTTGCAGAAAATTTTAAAAATCTGTGTGTCTACTCAAAATGAGTAATACAATAGGTGTTATCATCTTATTCCCTTTTACTGTTGCCTTCAAAATTGCAAAAGCAATGGTATAGATCATAAACTATCTTCTCCCAACTCTTCTCAAAGGGAGTTGGCAATGCATGTTCTGCTAAATCTTGAGGAACAGCCTCTCCAGGCTTGTGGGGAAATGGAAGAGATGAAGTGTGCCTGTGCTCGGGTAGGACATAATAGGATTTGTCCCACTGAGGAGGCAATGTTGACTCTTCTTCTGGCCCATTTGTCCCAGCACCTGAGTGCCCTCCTTGCTTATCCAGCTTGCACCCCTCAGTGCCTGCCTATCCCTGCCCGAGTGCACTTCTCATCTCACTTTTGGAAGTGAAGTCCTTCTTGTTGCTTTGCCTTTGGCAGGTGTACGGGAGTCTCTCTGCTGGGGAGTTCCAGCTGATCCGGCAGACGCTCCTCATCTTCTTCCAGGACCTGCACATTCGAGTAAGTGAACACCTGCATCCACTATACTAGGGAAGCAAGGTGCACATTGTCAGGGAGACAAGGGCTGAGATTTTGCCTGGTAAGTGATATCCTCAGTGTTTGACTCCATGATAATAAACTTCTTGATAACAAACCTCAGCAGTTTTTAAATGGACCAAGGAAAACAGTGACACCTCTATTCCCCACAACACCTCTTTCTCCCTCAAATTAGCTTAGGTATTTCTTTAAAATATTATTTCTTCCCTTGTTTCTCTAGAGAAAATGGCTCTTAAACCTACCAGCCTGATCTCATTTCCAGAGCCTTGTAATCCTTGACCTCTCTGGTGTCTGACACTGTCAGGAGGCTGCCCTCCTGCTCCATCAAACTGTCTTCTTTCCTGGACTTTGATGGCTCCCTACCATCTTGGCCTTCTGTTACCTCTCCCATCTCAATGCCTTTCACTCTTTTCTAGTGTCCCCAAGGCTTCCCCCTCCTGTCTCATTCTGCTCTTTGACTACCAACTCCTTTGCCTACAACTCCTAAATCCAACCTCCACCCCACCCTTGCCCTACCTCTGCCACCCAGACCCACATCTCAACCTATTGACTGAAATTCTTCATGAGTTTGCCTACCAGTGCCTGCAACTTAATGTCTATAGCTAAACTCACTCCCCATGCTCTCCCTTTCCATTTCTTTCCTTTCTCAATTTCTTTTGAGGGCAGCACCACTCCTTCACTCACTCAGAACCAAAGTAGCAACCATTGATCCTCCTTCCATGGTTAAAGCAGTCAGCTGCTAATCAGATGGTCAGCAGTTCAAACCCACCAGTTGCTCCACAGGAGAAAGATGAGGCAGTCTGCTTCTGTAAAGATTTACAGCCTTGGAAACCCTATGGGGCACTTCCACTGTCCTCTATCCTATAGGGTCACTATGAGTTGGAATCAACCCAATGGCAGTGGGTTTGATTAAGTTTTTGGCTCTTTGTCTAATCACTTCCAGGGTCAATTAACTCATTGACCTAGAATCTGCCTTTTCAATATCCATGCCCTCCCTTTCCATTTCTGTTCCCGCTGGGCAGGCCCTTACACTTCTTGTTGGCTATGCCTCCTTACTAACCCTCCTTCCTCCTATCATGCCTATCCCAGGTAATTCTATACCTTAACTTGTAAAAATACATTGAAAGGACCTGTGTCCTTCCCATAATGTAGCAAGATGATATGGGAAAGATGGTACAATGTGATAAAACTAGCCCAGGCCCTTGAGTCATACACTCCTGTTTGAATCCCAACTCCAGCACTAGCTCCATGACTTTGGGGCAAACTATGAATATCTCTTGAATCTTAATTTCTTGGTCTGCAAAATGGAAATTATAATACCTAATTTAGAGCTCGTTGGGAGGATTAACTCAAGTAGCATATGTAATACAGGTAGTCCCTGATTTAGGACAGGGTTCTGTTCCTACCACTCATAATAAGTTTGTTCTGACTTAAGTCAGATGCCTCTTTTTTTTTTTTTTTTTTAGTTTTCATTATTACTGCCTTTTACTATCAGAATCTTTCTTTATAAATCTGATCTTTGTCTGTCTTTGGGAATTGGAAATATTACATATAAACTTATATAGTACATATTACTAATGATAAGATGTTAAAAAAAAAAAAACACAGTTGTAAGTGTGGTTTGTCATAACTGAAATACATTGTAAGTCAGGGACTACCTGTATATATGTATTTGCTTGTTTGTGTGTAGTACAGAAGGCTTCTGGAAGGATATACAAGAAACAATATACAAGGATATACAAGAGACTAGTTGCCTCCTGAGAATGGGAAACTGTAAGGAAGACAGGAGAAAGACTTAACTCGCCATTGTATACTCTTGAACCTTTTAAATTTTGTATGTGTGTGAGTACGACATATTCAAAAAAATAAAAATTCAAAAAAATGGAAGAAATAGAATATATATAGGGCCTGATTTTTTTTCCATTTCATGGACCAGGGAAGACAAATAGATTTCAACTCAGATGTCAATTTTTTTTTTTCTTTTTTTTTTTTTTATTAGGATTTGGGTGAAGATTTACAGAGTAAATTCACTTTTCATACAGCAGTTCACATGTATTTTGTCTCATGTCATTGACCAAAATTTACAATGCAGCAGCTCCCCTCCCACTTCCTCCCCATAGTTACCTCCTCCCAGTGTCCATCCCTTCATACTCTTCTGCACCCTGAGCTATCTCCCTGTGCATAAGCAGCCCTTCCTTCTCCCATGATTGTTCTCTCCAGGGCGTGTGTCTACTTGAGGTAAATGTTTAACTCACATGCCTGTACTTTGTTTGGCTGGAAACCACAGGTGTGGGTTCAATTCCAGACCTGAAGGGCAGCTAGGGGCCATAGTCTCAGTGGTTACACCAGGCTCCATTGGACCAGCAAACCTGGTCCCCACCTTCTTTTTTTTTTTTTGCCTCCAAACGATTTTGAGTTTTGTACCACATTGTTCTCCCTCTTTATGCAGGATCTCCTACATCCCTTCCAAGTGGATGGCAGTGGTAGCTGGGCACCATCTAGTTCTTCTGGTCTCATAGCTGTATAGGTTGCAGATCGGATGGTGTACCAGTCGCTAGGACTGATTGTTTCCCTTAATTTTGGTTTTCTTCTTTCTTCTTGACGAGGAGAGACCCGTTGTTGCATCTAGATGGCAGCTTCCTAGCTTTTAAGGTCCCAGTCGCTACTTGCCAAAGTAGTAGGTGGAACAATGTTTTGTATAGTATGTTATGCCAATTGAGCTTGATGTCCCCTGCGACTATGGTCCCAAGCCCACAGGATCAACTACTCGGTCCCTCTGGGTAGCTGGCTGTGACCAAGTAATGACCATAACCTTGCCCCTTGTCAGCTCTACTATACACCTGGGAATTCTGATCATTCACATGAACTTATAGGCCCATTGTCTGCCAACCCTATATATGATCTTGGATACACTCTCCATTTAGACATACCTAATTGTTTAGCTTGTTCACCCATCTATCCGTCCCTATACCCATGTTTGCTTTCACTGACAACTCAGTACTGTATCTGCAAAGGGGTTCATATTTGTTGTCTGTAATGCCCATGTAACTCTCTATGTCTTTCTCATCCTCAATGCTGCCATATTGGTCACTCACATTTGGTACATTGCCCTTCTCTTCACCCAAATCAATATTTATCTCTATCTATCTAACAGCATTCCCTCCCCTCCCCTCCCACCCCTGGTAACCAACAAAGAAAATGTCCTCCAATATATAAACCTTTCCTTAACTTTTACAATAACGGACTAATACAATATTTGTCCTTTTGTGACTGACTTATTTCGCTCAGCATAATGTCCTCCAAGTTCATCCACGTTATGCGGTGTTTTGCAGATTCTACATTATTCTTTAGCATTGCATAGTATTCCATTGTGTGAATGTACCAAAGTTTGGTTATCCATTCCTCAGTTGTTGAACATCTAGGTTGTTTCCAAGTTTTGGCTATTGTAAATAGTGCTGCGATGAGTCAATTTTGTTTTTAACTCTCATGAACAATTTCATTTGCCATGAATGGGACAACAGTAACATCAATATAAATTAAGATCTTTAATATTCATTGATTATAAGAGAAAATCTTAAAATATAAATTAGATTAAGTTTACCCATTAAGTTTTAAAATATTGAAAGTGATGCATCATATTATTATCAAGGCAGTGCATATTTGGACTTTGTTTTAGAGACTGTAGAAATATAAGCAGACATCTTGATTTCTCAATTCTGACAAGGTAAAATTCATTATAATGAAAAGATTTTTCTAATAATAAATTTATGGCAAAATCATTAAACTATTAAACCACGCAATGTATTAAGTTTGAATTGCTAAATGGGCAGGCAATGAGATATCAGAACTATCAGAACCTTCATTATGGGAAACAGAAGTCACATGTCCTGACAGTATTTTACCACTGATCTGTAGCATGTAGACTGCTTTTCCAAGTCTGGTCTTTAATGATATTTCTGCTCAGTTGCAATTTGTGATTGCATATACAGATTTTCTCTGTTTTCAAACTTGTTCTCATAGTTTTTAGACTTGTTAGCAAAACTAACTAAAGAAAACAGTTCTGATTACACCCTTGCTCATTTTTTAACAAAAGGAAATACAAAACTGCTCATCCTGATATCCAAAGCTTTCTGTGATATCACCAAACAACCTGAAATCACATTAGTGTCGTCAAGGCCCTTGATCTGTGCAGTAGGGCTTGGCCAGAAACTGCACTAAGACCAACTCTGTTTGGAATCTTGACCAACTATTTACAACTATCTTAATTCCAACACCCTTCAACCCTCCAGAACATCTCTGTTCGAATAATTTCTTTTAGAAGAATCAGCACAAGGCTGGTCCCTGTGAGGCGGAGGTTAAAGAGGTCCCAAATGTCCAACCTTTCCAAATTCTGTCACCTCTAACATCACTCCATCGCTAACATCAACTACTCCTCCTCCTCTCATTACTCTCCCTCCAGTATCAGGATTCTGTATTTGACTGTAACATCTCGCAGAATTCACATTCTGACAAGGAAATAGCTTACACAGTTGTGGCAAGTAAGGATTCTCCTCACTCACGTGGTTGTAGAACCCAAATTGACAGGTCAGATGACTGGCTGCTGTCTCAAGTCCCAAGAACCAGAGGTCAGATGATTACAAACCAGATGTAGGATCCAGAACAAGAGAGCAAATTTTGCCTGAGCATTCATATATTATTGGATGCAGATCATACCCTGTAGTAATGTGGTGACTCAAGATACATCCTACCCTAATCCTGCCTCGTTAACATAGCAAACAACTCACTCCAAAATGGGACCATGACCAGAGCATGGAGGCTAGGATTTACAATACATCACAAAATGGGGAACTATGGCTAGAAGGGCCGTGTGGTGGTTAAGTTTATGTGTCAACTTGGCTGGGCCTGGTTAAGTGGCTGGGCAGCTGAATGTAGTATTCCCCATGATGAGACTGGTAATCAACTTC